CTAAGTGCACAAAAAGGAGGCATCCCTAGTTTATTTCAATAAATATGAATCTCTTAAAGCAAACTGTTGCCTTCTAATTTTTTTTTTTTTTTGCCTTCACCTTTCAAAATTATAATATGGTAAATAATAAAATTGGTATAAATTGTCATTGCAGGCTACTATTACTTGAATGGAAAGGCTTTTGAAAAGCATTTTGTATCATGAACTGCTTTTAAAATAAATCCAACAGTTTTATGACTGGCTAATTTTATGCTGAAGCTTTGATCATTAAAATAATTTTTTTGCATTATTTGAGAATTCTCTCATTTTCAGAGTTTGTAAACCAGCAGAAAAGATTTTAATGACTGAAAATATCTGTGAAACTGAGTTAGGCTTAAAATTCTACAATGGGATAGATTTTTTTTTGCTGGTCACTATTCATGTAATATTTTAATCAATATTCTTATAATTTACACTTATAATACTTTGACAAAATTAGTAATATTTCAACATGATGCAAATAATGTATATAGTAAGTATATAGTAATGTAAATGTTTTTAGTTGACATAAGTTTTTCTATTTCTCATTATTTCTAGCATTTTTTTTCTTGTAATTGAAATGATTACATTCTTGATGTTATTTCAGTAAGTTTTTTCATATTCAATTTTTTCCTATATTGCAGAGAGGATTAAATTTTATAACTGTTGTATTCTAATAAAGATACATGTCATAGTTGTTTTAAAAAAGATTGAAGGACTTCTTCAAAAAGTTTAAATTTTATTTTCATGATACGTGTTTTTTTTTTTTCCACCAAAATAAAAAATTGGTTTCAAATACAGTGTAACCCGGATAAAAGAGATTTTCTCTGGTCCCAAATTAGAGCCTGTGTTAATGTAAACAAAATAGACCAAACCCGGATATAAGAGACTTCTTCTCCGGTCCCGACAACTCTCTTATATCCGGGTTACACTGTATAAAAATGCATCTGAAAAATTTAAACATCTATGGCATGTGTCATTCTGAAGTCATTTTAACAGAAAATATACATTATTTTTATGTTTGTTACTTTATCATTAACTTTTTTCATTCCTATTAACAGATTCTTAGAATGTTACTTATCCAATAAATTACCAATTTCAGCTTAAGTTTTTATGTACTCATAGTGATCCATTTGAAGAGGAATTATATATTTTTAATGTGTAGGTAATAAAGGAAAAGAAAGAAGAATTGTAAGACATAATGTATTGTCAGCAAAAAGAAGAGCTCACATGTGAATTACAAATTGGAGATGCCAGACTCAAGCAAGTACAAACATTTAAATATATAGGAATTGTTTTAACAGAGGACTGAAAGTTTGATACCAAAATCTGAAGGCACATTGGAATAGTTAAAGATGCTTTCCATAAGCTAAGCAAAGTATTAAGAAACAGCAAAATCTTGTTAGAAACAAAGAAAAGAGTAACTATTTAAGTTATGTAATATTGGTCCTCCTATATGGCAGTGAATTCTGGACAATCTCCTCACAGACTAAGAAAAGATTTGAGTTAACTGAAATGTAGTTCTACAGAAGCATACTGAGAATACCATGAACTGAAAATGTGAGCAATAACAAAGTTTTATAAAAAAAATGGAAACAAAAAGGAACCTTATGTTAAAACATCAGAAAGAGAAAGTTGAAATTTCTATGGTACATAATGAGGAAATGGAGCTTAGAAAATTTGATATTGACAGGATATATTGAGGCACAGAGAAAATCAGCACATAACTTACTTAACAAGCTTGTATAAATGGTTGGCAGAACAGGGATTAGGAGAGATAGCAAAAAGGCAATTTACTAAAATCTACAAAGGAAACGAAATTTACAGTACGAAATTTGATGATGGTATAGAAAACAAATATATTTAAAAACAGAAAAAGTAGGAACTGATATTTAATGCAGGAAAAAAATATTGAAAGTTAATCGGTTTGCTCCTCATTTATCAAAACTCAAAGATAATAAAATAGAACAACATACTGACTAAAAAAGGAAAATGCCAATACAGTGCATTAGTAATATACTAACACTGAATATTTATATGCAAAACATATCTTGTTTTGTAATTATTTTAGTCAAATTTATTATTTTTTTTTTTTTTTTTATTTAAAATTTTATAATACAATAATAAATGGCATCACTCCTGTTTTTGTTTTTTTGTTATGGTGGTAGGATACACTGATCGGTAGTGCATATGCTAAAGCAGCACTGAAAATTATTTCCAGTACATTGAGATGAAATTCTGAGTGCAATTTACACAAAACAGAGAACATGTTCTGCCAGTACACCATGGCACACTGATTATTTTTAATCAGTTGCTCCGCAATAGTAGACTAGGATGCAACAGTCTTATGCAAATTATGATTCAGCTGACCTCTGTTCATAAATGCTGGAACATGTGGTGAAATTCTCCCCTCCAAAAGTTGAATTGTCCTGCCTCTTATAGACATCATTGCTATGATATTTAAAAGAATAATTAACAGAACTTGTTTTGAAGATAGGCAGATTGTCCTTATAAAACAATTTCAATATCAGTCAAGATGAGAACATTACTTTCAGATTAGCAGAAAAATATATTTAATATTTCATAACAGTATAGAGAAAATTATTCTTCAGAACAGATTTTTTTATATACAGGAAAAAATAACTTAGAATGATAATATTGGGAACAATTTATCTTATTTTTCTTGTGGTTAGAAGAATATGGTTATAACTCTTAAAAACCTTGAAATATTTGAAAGCTTAGTGTATACAGTGATAGTTTATGCTGAAATTGAGTTTAATTTTTAAAAATCAGACTAGCATGTTAATTGTTACATATTTTTATTAAGTTTTAATTAGTTTCTTTTCATTACAATATTTTTAACTATTTAAAAAAAAAAATTAAACTCCATCAGTTAATGTAAAAAGTTATGAACAAGGCTAACTAGCATCCTTCAGGAGCTTCTTTCATGACCAAAGCTGTCATGATGGCAGTGTTCTCATCTTTAGTTTTTCTGCCAGTATATTTCTTGTGACTTTAATCAACACTGTAAAAAAATCAAAAGTTGAAACATTAAAACTCATTAAAAAAAAACATAAAACATCTCATCTATATATCTCTATTAATACATGTATATTTAGAAAAGGTTTTATATTTCATCCAAAAGCTTTTACTTGAATGAATAATTGTATCAACTTAAATTTATTTTAAGAGTTACTACACTTAAAATGTGTGAGTAGTGAAATGGATATTGGCTTGAAAAATGGAATTGACAAGGAGTTCAAATTCCAGACTAGACTGTTGTGTTCACTTTTGTATAAATGCCCTTAGGAAAGTCATGAATCCATCTCTTTTTTTCCACTCTGCCTCCTATGGATTAAATAGCAGGGTAGACTGTGCTCTCAAGATTTAAAGGACAATTCTGAATTTAAAACTGGAGAAGGCAACAGGAAACCACTCTACTATTTTTTTCAAGAATGCATGGCAATTCAGACATTTATTAAATGTGAACAATTATGATCACCTACATCCTGAAGTGACTTGGTATTATGGCAAAATTTATAACTTGAGAATTTGTTTTTATTATTATTAAAAGATGTCTGGATCTATTTTGACTTTTTGGTGTTAAAATGTTTGTAAAGTTTCTGAAAACTTTACAAACATTTTAACATAACAGGATAAGAGCTTAAAAAAAAAAAAATTATGCAAAACTATTTTTCACCAAGAAAATGGTTCTTTCTTAATATTGATTCTTTCCCTCCTTTCGCTTGCACCGACAAAGAAGCATTAAAAATTTCTGTAATATCAGTGTTTTATTTTTATTTGTTTCTCTATCAAGTAACAAAATGTTATATGTAAATGCTTCTTGTAGATTTATTCTAATGCATTTGACTTGCTTTCAAAATAGTGCTTGATGTTGGCATTTCCATCATATCTATTGGCATGCACACCTGTTTTTTCATGCGAATTTGGCATTGACTGATTTTGTAGATTCTGTAAATAAAACTCTTTCATATTTTGGAAATAGATATAGAATTGAAAATTATACAATCTTGGTTACCTGGCATTTTTATTTTCCATTTCACAAAGTTCTGGAAGCATAAAATAGCTTCTCCAATTACCATTTCAAGATCATCTTTGTTTATGCATACATTCTCAAAATTAAAATTATGATGCTAAAAGTCTATAGAAGAACAAATAAAAAAAAATATGCAATATTTTATACAAAAGTATTTTCTTTTAAGAATGTAATTATTTACTAATTAGCTGTATTTTTTGTTTAAATTATACCATACAGACTATTCTATTATTTGAGTAAAATTAGATAATTATTTCAGTTTTAATCAAGTTACTCACAAAAAAAAAAACTGGATCTCAAAGAAATACAATCCCAGAAAGAAACAAGAGGCAATTAATAAAACTTACAAAATTTCTAGTTTTACTGTGTACATTTCAAGTTGGTTCTTCCTTGGCCCTTTGATTCAGGTATGGTCGACGATGTCCAACTGATTTCCTAAACTTGAAGAAATATCAGTATGAGACTATGCCTCGCGAGTAGTAAGTATGGAAATGGTTTCTGTGGATTCTCCCTTGGAGATACTTTTTCTCAGATACCATCTTACTAACAGAATGGGTTTGTTTGAGTACTAATAAAGTGTTTCAATTTATACATTCTTACATTAAGAATTATTTACTAAATTTGTTTCTTTTTTTTTCTTTAACTTTATGCATTTCATAAAATCCTTTTATTCAAAATTAAATCTTGCAAGTAATTTTTCTATTATATTTGATTTTAATATTTTTTTTCATTATTCTTGAAATTTAACTTGACCAATTTTATTGCTTGAGACTACAATTATTGTAAAGTAATTGAAAAATAGATGTCATGGTAGATGTTTAATTCAAAGTTCACTTTTCATAGCAAAATTAAATTTAGGTTTTTATTGTTATTGGCAAATTAATTACTATTTAAATTACATAACTTAGATAATGTAGTTATTTGAATGTATGCCCATGTCTTCATTATTTTATTTCATTTTGATTATAATATTTGCTTTATATTCATTTTAAGAACCAAAGATTTATCTTTTTTTTTTCTTTTTATTTCTTTTTTTCTTTTTTTTCTTTTTTCTTTTTATTTCCTTTTTTTCTTTTTATTTCCTTTTTTTCTTTTTATTTCCTTTTTTTCTTTTTATTTCCTTTTTTTCTTTTTATTTCCTTTTTTTCTTTTTATTTCCTTTTTTTCTTTTTATTTCCTTTTTTTCTTTTTATTTCCTTTTTTTCTTTTTATTTCCTTTCTTTTTTTTTTTTTTTTCTTTTTTTCCTTTTTCTTTTTATTTTTTTTTTTTTTTCTTTTCTTTTTTTTTTCTTTTTTTTTTTCTTTTTTCTTTTTTTTTTTTTTTTTTTTTTTTTCTTTTTTCTTTTTTTTTTTTTTTTTTTATCTTTTTCTTTTTTCTTATGTTTTTCTTTTTTTCCTATGTTTTTCTTTTTTTCTTATCTTTTTCTTTTTTATCTTTTTCTTTTTTCTTTTCTTTTTCTTTTTTCTTTTCTTTTTTCTTTTCTTTTCTTTTTTTCTTATCTTTTCTTTTTTCGTATCTTTTTCTTTTTTCTTATCTTTTTCTTTTTTCTTTTTTTCCTCTCTCTCTTTTTTTCCTCTCTCTTTTTTCTCTCTTTTTTTCTCTTTTTTTCTCTCTTTTTTCCTCTCTCTTTTTTCTCTCTTTTTTTCCTCTCTCTCTCTCTTTTTTTTTTCCTCTCTCTTTTTGCCTGGGAAGTATAATGAAACCTGTGTTACTGTATATAGGAATTTGAATGTAAATTCTTGCTAATAATAAAAGGTAAAAATCATCACTTGAGAGTTGAATGAGTTTTGTTCCACTAGTTCCTTTAATATTGGCATATATATAATTCTGCTTGTCCCTCCTTTAGCTCCTTTATCATGTATGTTACACCCTCCCAATACCTTCATAATAATGGACTGTTCTATTTTGATCAGAAGGAAAGATGGTAATTAAATTATAATATCAGAGATGCTATTTAATTTCCATGAGAAAAGGGAAAACAAATCCAAACAGATTAATCCTTTGTAAAAAAATTAATGTTGTAATTTGAAATGAAATGAAATTAAAAAAAAAATGCCATCATAGCACCAATTTTGCAGGTTCTGATTTGGGAATGCATGGAGGTTTTTTTTTTTTTTAACCTATTATGCTTGTAGTTCCTATTTTCATATCTGCAGGTTTGATAAAAGTAGCAACACAAAACTTTTCTAATTTTCTAAAAGGTTTTTTTTTAATTCAAAGGCATATTTTTAAAAGTTATAATTTTCCAATGTAAAATCGGTTCAGGATCTTTTTATACAGTTTTACATTTTAATGTTGAACTTTATTTTAGCATCAATTTATTTTATAAGTTGATTAATATGAATTCAAGCTTTAAACTTTTAAGCATGATACAAGGCTAAATTTCCAATGAGAATTGTTTTATGTATTAAATTTCTCTTAACACATTTTTATTAATTAAAAAAGAGAAATACTTAAAAGTAAAATTTGCCTTATATTGTACTTGTTGATATGTTTCAATAGAAGAAACATTGATTGTTGGCTACAATGTCTATTATTCATTGTACAATCTCCAAGTAATTGAATTTATTTAGAGGAGAAACATTTTAAACTAAAACAGGATATGGTGGGTTATTTAGCTAGAGATACATCCATCTAATTCAAGGGTGATCAGATGGGGTTTGTGTGACCCCTAGGAATCAGTGAGGAGTTTCATGGAGGTTGGTGTGTGAATGGCACTGGTCTAAATTTTGGTTAGTATAAATGTATGTAGTATACTTTGGTGCAGATGACAGTAAGGTACAGAGCTCAATGCTCAACAGAATGAAAAGCCTTAGTTACAGCTATCCAAGCAGCTTTTAACTTACTTTGATGAGACTTATTTAATGCTACATTGAGCATTGCTTGCTTGCTTTTTTTTTTTTTTTTTTTTTTTTTTTTTAAATTGTTCCAAGTTGATATTCAGATAACAATCCTCTTTTTTTTTTCAACCTCCAACTGTAAAATAGAGTTTATGATTATGAACGTCATTAGGACTGATTGGTATGATTGCATCAAGTATGATGCAATATTAGTTTATTTAATTTAATTCATTAATGCAGTTGGATATTAATAGTGATTATGCATTTTTGTTCAATAGCATTGGCTGTATTTACATTTGGTGTACTTAATATATTATTTGCTTGACTCATTGGGATTATTTAATATATTTTCTTCAATATATTTTTGGGGGAAAATTTTGAACCTGATCCAAATTTCTTAACTTTTTGTACATTTTAGTTAACATTATAATTGCTAACATCAGTACAAGTTTTAAGATTCAAAGATATTTTAAATGGGAGTTGCCGGGGAAGAAAGAAAAAACAAAGAGGTCACTGGTTGAAAAAGAAAATCTAATTGATTACTATATTTAATTTATGCTAAATATTCAAATAGATAGCTTCATGCAGAACCAATGATGAGCAGGTTAATTTATTTGGAAATCTGGAAGCAAGTGTTGCTAACCATAACCAGATTAGAATATGACTAAGGTCACAAGAACAATGTTGACAGGTTATTTAAGATGCTCCAGGGAATAACTAAAATCTGATTTTATTCTTAGTCTTGTCATGTTTATCTTCAGATCAGATGTAGAATATATTTATAGGCTGTAGCCTTTTGTGAGAGATTTCTCCTCCATTGTCATGCAAGCTGCTTTTGTTATAGCCTGCTTGCATTGCCATGCATGAGTTAATCTTTCAATGCTAGTTTTTGCCATTTTCAGAAATAGCACTTGTTGAATTACTGTATCTGGCGAAGAACTATTTCTCTATTACAAAAGAGAATAATGCTGACAGAGCTTACAAAAGATGGTTTGAGTGTGTGTGTGTGTGTGTATATATATATATATATATATATACACACACACACACACAAACATGCATACAAATAAGTTTCAGATTTCCAAGTTTGATGACAACCTTTTTCAGCATTTAGGATTGTAAATGAATTGTCTAGCATTATCATTATACATTTAAAACTGGTAACTAAACAAGGCTAATGTAGCTGGAGAAAGTTGATTTGTGTTTTTTAGCGTGAAATGATGGGAGTTTAAAATGAAAAAAAAAACAATCCTAAACTAACTTTTATATAATTTCCATTTTTTGATGAATTCATTTGTTTTACTTGCACTAAATTCACTAATTAATATTTTTTATAAATCCTTTTCTTTAAAGCTTTTGTTAATGTCACAGAAATTCAGCTTGACATCTTAGGATACATATATGCAAAGAAAAATGATTTTTAACTGCTAAGAATCACTGAAATATTTTTCTGTTACCATAGGTCAACTAGTATGAGAGGGACTAAATCTTTGGTTGGCATTTGCAGTTTGGGAGTGTACACCTTTTAGTTGTGTTCTAGGAAAATAACATTATTAACCATTTCTTTTCATGTCCTACTTATACTTTTTTACAATCTGTATTTTATTTTATAAATAGAATAGTGATTTATTTTATGGTTTTATATGGTTAATTAATATCTGATGCTGTTATGGTTTTATATGGTTAATTAATATCTGATGCTGTTATTCCTTTATATGGTCACTGCATAAACATGAAAATAAAGTTTAGTGAAATATAATTAAAATGTTAGTCAATGATGTTATTAGAATAAGAGTTTTAACTTTTATTCATTTTATGATAAAAAAAAAAGATTCAAATCCATTTAACTGTTGGCATTTTTATTCAGAAAAAAATATTACATATTCATACAAGATATAAAACCTTTGTTTTTCTTTTTCACTCTTTGTAACTTGAGAACAAAATTATTTTACTTTTTCCTTATGTTTGATTTAACCTTACAAGAAACTTGGATGTTCATTAATTTAAAGGTGGTGGTTTTTATAGATGTCATTTTTTGCAACTAAATTTAAATCATTGTTTATTTTTGATTACTAAAACATATTTACTTTTTAATAAAGATAATACATTTTAATTGGTATGCAAATAATTCACATAAGATTGGAGTAATTTACACTTTGTTTTTCTTTTATACAAGAAAATGCTAAGAAGTTCTCAGCCTGACCAAGAAACCCTTCCAAAAACATTTTGTCATTTGGTAAAATTTTGAAAAGTGGTTTGGGCTAAGAACTTTCAGCACCCCTTTGTTTTTGAGTCACTCTGAAGAAAATAGAATATCTATTAATATATCTCTGATCATTTAATAGTTATGAGCTATGGAAAGTTGATACTCTATAACAACATAGAAAGCAATAGATCATAAGGTAAGTAAAATGGACCACTGTTAACTATACCAAAGGCTAGCCTTGATCCAAAGAAGTTAATATACATGTTAAAGTTGGAAAGATTTCCTGGGGACCTAACAATTGATTCAAACTGACACTGCACCCAATTCAACCAATTGAAGATAGCAATCAATGAAAATTATCCAGAATTAAAATTAATAAAAAACAATAAATATATATATATATATATATATATATATATATATATATATACACGCTCTATCATCCAAGCCAGTTTTTTGTAAAAATAAAATTGTATTATTTGTATTTATGAAGATATTTTAAAATTAAAATGCATTAGAATGCATTCAAAATTTTCAGAATTTAAAGGTAAAAATTAACAGTAATAATTTTTATTCCAGATTATTATTACTGTTCTTTTTAACTTTTTAATTATGCTGATACTTTCAAAATGCTATGTATGCAAGTATTTTTTAAATTTCTATTCTCTTTATTATAGTAAATAAAAGTGTAACTTGAAAAAAAAAAATGAATATTAAAACAACAAAGTAAATTTAAAAGAAGAATATTATATACAATTATTTGACAAAAAGTTTAATATTTATTTATTCAAATATTCATGTGTTCAGCTAAAACTAAAAAACTGCAATAATTAATGTCAGAATAAATATATACACAGACTCAGTATTACCCTAAAGGGCAGTTGTCTGTGTGTATTATTGACTTATTAATATTTTTCGGCCATCTTATAGAAAATAATATTTTATTCAATCTTTAAAAAATATACATCATTATTTTTTGATTTCTAACTAACCTAACAAAGTAAATAATTTTAAATTAAGTTTACTTAAAAATATCTAAATAAAGTAAATAAACTTAAATTAAAACATATTTAATTTAATCATCTTTTTAAAACAAAAACTGTAGCAAGCCTTACTTCGAAAAATAATTATTTACTATTTATTTTAGAGTCTAATTTAGATTTTTTTTAAATAAATAAAGTTTTACTTTTAAACATTACATTAACAAACATTTCTCTGTAAATGAATTTAATTACTATTTTGAAAAAGTAGAAGCAAGATACATTGAGAATTTAGTTTTGAAAAGCAATTATATCTACCTTTCAAGTTATATTTGTATTTGAAAGGAAGAAAAAAAATTAAATAAAAATTAGGAGAAACACACATGAATTATGGTCAACATTAGTTGTGTTGAATATTTGTTTTATGAATTTAACCATATTTTATTTAAATTAAAGTGTCTTTTTGAATAAAAAAAAAAAATTGGGATGCTCAGCCCTCTAACTCCACCCCTCTCCCAAGTGTGGTATTTTCTTGAATTTAATTATATTGTAACAAACCATAAACCAAGTTTATTTTTTAAAGGTTGAATAAACAATTATTTTCCATGAGATGGCTGAAAAATCTAAATAAATTTTCAATAATAAACTATTATTCAGAGACATTTTGAGCAATGCCAGGTATTTTCGCTAGTATTCAATGAAGCTAAATCATGTTTCTTTCGTATTCAGATGAAAATTGTTTCAATTTGATTGGGAATTTTTAACTCATTCATTGTATATGACAGAACAAAGTGGAACAATGCAAATATGTTGTTCAATAAAGTTAATGTAAAAAATAAAAATAAATATTTTTATAGGTTTATGAACTAAACCTTTTTGATAAATAGAATAGCAGTCACTTAATGTTAAAAAAAAGTTGTTTGTATTTTTCACGAGATAAACTTTAGAGAAGACATTAAACTGTTGTAATAATTTTGTTTGCAGATAAAGGTTGATTAAATATGCTGTAATTTAGCTACTTGTTTTTTCATATTTGACTCTTCATTTTTCTATTTTTACTGACAGCAAAATATGTTATCTATCTTATAGCATAATTGATGTTCCTTATATTATTGATGTCTTTATTGAATAAGTTATCTTTTAAATATATTTGCATACAATACATGATTTATTTTAATTTTATTTTGTAGTGGCCAGGAGTCAGATTTTCCTCTAACAAATCGATCACGGTCTCACTGTCGAACAATGGCTGAACACATATTTCATGATTGTGTACCTTTGGATGGACAGCTGAGTAATATGCTGTCAAGAGGACTTCAGGAAGAATCTATGAACAAACTTAGTCAGCTCAGGTAATTTTTTTAATTATTTAGACTTTTTTCATAAAAACTTCAACATAATACCAAAATCTACATATTTACTTGAAGTTATTTATCCTATAAAAGTACTGTATCTATATTTTTTTATTATAAGAATATAGTACAGCTCCAAGCAACTCCTGCCTTTCTGCATATTTCTTATTTACTCTCCTTCCTCTTTAAAGTTCCAATGCAAATGAATTGGAAATCGAAGAGCCCAGTTCCAATTCCATTATATTCACTTATGCACAAAATACCCTTTGGAAAGTTATGAATTCACTTTTTATCCCACCTAGCTATGGGTTAATTAGTAGAACTTGTGTCAGTAAATTATCTTCCAAAACTTCTTACAATCTAAAAAATATTTTCTGGTTTTAAATAACCTGCAAAATTTGCTGACATTAAAAAGTATAGATTCTCAAACTGTATCATTAATAATTATCACAGCAAATGTAAAAAGAGTAAGTGACTTTAATATTTTTGTTTTAGTGACATCTCTTTGATAGATGACTTTCTTTACATTAATCTACACTTGTTGTATCACTCTCCCCCAGTCAAAAACCTGTTGTGCCCAAAATTTCAGTTCAATCCAGTTATTAGTTTTGCAGTCTATAACAGTTTGAATATACAGTTTTTCTTTAGTTACCCCCCCCCCAAAAAAAAGCTTAAAAACGTGTTTAATATCTGGAGTATTTGGAATTGAAACATGCATATTTTTTCTATTTCTATGAGAAATTTTTGTAAGAATACAGAAAAAAACCCACCTTTGCTTAGTCATAATTTTATAAATAATTCTCATATATATATATATATATATATATATTATATAAAAGGTACCTCCACTAATTTGGTATGCCTAAGGTTTAAAATGAAAATTTTTTTTGAAGCTTTCATTTTAGCTTCAATTGGAAACTAAACGATTAGCCTTACTATTTCCAGTAAGCAAAATACTCTGTATTTCAAACAAAAATTATATTGATTGGAATTGGTGCTTTTTGTTTTTTCTAAAATAGCTGATTTTTTATTTTTCTTTTCTTTTTTTTTAAAGACCTCTTTCATCACAATCTAATTCTCTATTAAAACATCTTCCAAAAATAAAATATAATTCTCTGAAACTTTGAGGAATATTAGCTGATTTAAAGTATAATTAATCTGATTTTAAAAAATATTATTTATTTTAAGTTGAAAATAACAGAGAAATGGATTTTTAAACAAACTGTACCAGTGATTTACGTGCTTTTATCGCCTGTCTAGACAAGTACTGATAAGGTGTTGACAGCTTTATTGTTGTTCTGTGGAAACTTTATCTGTTAAAACATTATTTAAGAAAATGACAGGTGAACGCTTTTTTATATAATTTTTAAGTACTCAGTAATCTTAAAAATGTTGGAAATATTCTCTGTAATTTAATTTTAGGAATGTTGACTTCAAATTTACTATCATGATAGATCTTATTTTCTGATAATGTTATATATGGTCATCCATACTTTCAAAATGGGCATGTTTATACAGATAAAAAAAAAAATTAAAAATTATTTTAAAAAAATCTTAGTGCATGATGATTTGTATTAAGCTTTTCAATTTTTGCTTAGTAAATATAGTCTTCATTTAATAACTTAACCTAACAAGGACATAGTTTGGAAGAATTTTTTAAAAGATTTTTGAAACTTTATAAGTTTTTATAATAAAAAATGAAAACAATTTTTGTAAAAATTCATTATTCATCAAAAAAGAATACTATAATACCTTTAATATATATTATTTATAAAAGCAATTAAGAGCTTAGCTAATTAAATAATTAGATAGTTTTATTGTAGTTTTTATTTTACAATTTGGAGTAGATTTTTGGCAACTGAGTAACTGTTATGGATGATTTAAATTCTCCAAGGATTCCTGCATTTAACTAATAAAACAATTTGGAGGATGGAATTTAATTTCAGGAAATTTCATGAAATTAAGTTTTGGAGGGGGGGGGGTCAACAGATGTATATAAAAAAAAACAGTAAAAGATAAAAAAGAAAAAAATATTTTTACGAAGATTTTCTAAAAAATAATAATTTAAAAAATAAATTCATTCATTTGTAAATAAGTCCTGAAAGTGTCATTAAAATTCAGCAATTATTTGATTTTTGTAAGAATTTCCAAATTAATGTTTACCAGAAAAAAAGAAGGTAAAATATCCATAACCAGCTCTGTTACACTGCTGACACATATATATATATATATATATATATATATATATATATATATATATATATATAGTGTGTGTATGCCCAAAGATGTGCAGAAAAGTATGTAACACATTATATATATATATATATATATATATATATATGCCCAAAGATGTGCAGAAAAGTATGTAATCAAGGTCCACTTACATGCAAATGAGAAAATGGCTCATTGGTGATTTAATGTAGCTATGTTTGGTTCAAGGGTATTAATAATTGTTATTTGTAATTTGAGTTTTCAGTAGAAAATCTTTTTCGGTGTTCCTTGTTCTGATAAAATTCTGCTACTTTAAAAAGAGGTATTTTCAAACATTAGTTTGATTTTTATCTGATGATGTTAATGTTTAGTTCCTTAATTGCATTTAATCCAATTGATTTGACTCAGTGACACATTACTCTGTTACTTGTTAATTCTATCAAAGCTATTGAAAGAGTTCTACTCACATTGTTCTCAATCTAAGTTCTATTCGAATTTTTTCTACACTATCTGGGTAAAAGATATAAACAAACAAGTTAATCATGTTTACCTTTACATTAATTTTAAAGTGCTTACAACATTTCACTAAAGTAATAGTAGCCAAAACTAATAGATTGTAATGTCGAAAGAAAGAAAAACATTAAGAATGTAAGATTTTTTATTAGCAGTTTTTTAACAGATTAGTAATATTTTTAGTTTAAAAATATAAACAGGACTTAACAAAATTTATTATAAATATTTAATTCCAATTACTGTATATTTCTGCGTATAAAGCAACCTTTATATAAGACAAGCTCAAAAAATATAGCAAATCTTCATGAATTTATCCTTATATCTATAGTATAAGATGACTGCTTATTGATTATATAAAGATGTTATTGGAAATGTTATTTACTGTATCCTTAGAAATTCAAAATAAATGAAATAACAAAACCAATTCTATATTATGTTTTCCTACACACATCCCCTAAAAGGGAAACCATTGTTTTGTTTGTTTCATCACATGATATCTTGTTAATATTGATTTTTCTTCTTCCTCTTTTCCTATATCTAAACAGTTACAAACAACCTGGTGTACAAATTATATACTAATGTATATAATCCTAAATTGTATTATTATTTAAAACTAAAATGATAATGAATTTTTAATGAGAAATGAATATTATGTTATTCTAAATGTTATTACTGCTGTAATCACTATCATGAATATTTTATTGAAAGTTTAGCAAAAGATGAAGGTTGCTGTGAATGCAATCATAACTTGATGCTTTACATTTTCTCAACTGAGTTTGATTTTCTTGTGGTCTCATGAAATGCAATCAAGAATTTGTCTTGTGTTCTTAGTTGAAAACTAAGTAATCATTTTTGAAATAGAATTGTTGTTTTCCTCATTTTTGCATATTTGCTTTAAAAAATCTACCTATTCAGGAAAAAGTATGGATACATTTTTTTTTTTTTTTTGTAGATCTGGGAAAAAAAAGAACTTAAGAATTGTTTTATTCATAATTATATTAAGCACAATTAAAACCAGGCTTTATATGATGTCTTGTATAGGTTTCAGGATATTAGAAAAATATAATTTTCTATACATCATCTATGATAACAAGAACTGTTTTTAAATTGATTATTGTTTTTTTAATTTTTACAGATTTGATTTACAAAACAAATGTGAGCAGATCATATTGCTGGATTTGGATGTGGCAACAAAACAGAATGTTGAACAACTCTTATGGAAATCTGTTTATTACCAATTGATTGAAATTTACCGTAACCAACTAGCAGAGGAGCACTCCAATAAGACACCAACTACACAATGTATTAAAGAGCAGCTCTTTGCTGTGTTGGATGAGGTAAATACTAACAATTATTTTGCTAGGATTTATTTTTAATTTAGTATTTTTCTACATTTTCTTAGCCAGTTCAATACTAGTGTAAAGTTCTATCTACATATCACTAAGACCATCTAGCATGACTATTGATATAACAGTACTGGTTCCAAACTGCTGTTTGTTTTTTTCTTTTTTTTTTTTGGTTTACTGGCATATTTTATACTAATGTAATTATAAATAGAATAAATTATATGAAACTTATAAGTTGTGATAATCTTCATTTTTTGATAAATCTAAATGGTCATTTAATTAAGTTGATTGTTTTTAGATATTTATCCAACAATATTTCTGAAGATAAAATAGAAAAATTATCAGAATTTGAGGAAATTAAGATTACCTTTTTAATTGTATAAATTTAGTATTAAGTAACTGTTTCAGGACTTTGATTGTATCAACACCTCTGTCTCTCCTAGCTATAAAGTAAACTCTATTTTCCTTCAAGCAGCAGCTGGGACATACGCCCACTCTTGCAGTGATTTTGAAAATTCACACTCTCTCTAACCCCCTGTTCCTTTACCTGTCATCATTTTTTGGGGGGGAGTCTTATTGAGGTTTCTTTGATTGGTCAGTTATTACACAATATTTTTCCACTGGCTAATCAAATACTGCCAAATGGATTGCCAGCAGAAAATTATGATAAAAAATTCAAGATCAACAGTGATAGTACAAGTGCTGGTAATCCAATTTGACTTTAGTCAAGATCCTCAAAGTTTTCAAAACAACTCACTGAATTTTAAGCCAGGATGATTTCCAGTAACACCTGTCAGGTTAACTACATGTCAACAAATCTTAATCTTTTCAGTTGCTAGTTCACTTTACATTTGTACTTGATTAATATTCTCCTTTAAATCAACAAATTCTCTTGTTACACTACCCTCAATAGTGATATAATTCAAAATTCCTGTGGATCTCTTTTATTTTATTTTTTTTACATAGAAAAATCTTTTCTCTTTAGACCAAATTCTGATTAGAAATCAACCTTCAATGCTACACTTCTACACTAGCTATAGTGTTGTAAATGGAATGAGAATGGCGAATTAAAAAAAAATTACTTGGAAAATATATCTACTTTCATAACCAGATGTTTGTTTAATATTAAGATGAAAGAGTAAAACTTTGTCACTTTGAGATTGCTATATAGGAAATTTTTTTTTTTTTTTAAGCAAAATCAGTTTTCAAAAAAGTTTTTTACTTTATACATTTTAAAATTTGACAGTAAGAATGCACTTATGTGCTGTTTTTCTAATGTTAACTGCTACTTTGTAGAGATGTGGATTATATTATATATATATATATATATACACACACACACACACACATTGAAACACTGGTTTTTGTACAATCACCAAAGTTAAGCAATGTCAAGCCTGGCCAGTATCTAGATGGGTGACCACTTAGGAATACCAGGTTGTCTAAGCTTGGATGTAGGGCTTTGTAATAGATAATGGCTACAAATTGGAAAATCAGGGAGCCAAGTTCCAATTCCAGTCAGTTTCGTTACATTAACTTATTCACAAATACCTTTGAGGAAACATGAATCCACCTCTTCACCCCAGCTATGAGTTAATTAGAACTTGTATAAGTAAATCATTATCTCACAAAAATTTTTGCAATCTAAAAAATGTTGTCTGGCCTTAAATAACCTGCAAAAAGTTGTAAGCCATTAAAAATATATATATATATATATATATATATATATATATATATATATATGTGTGTGTGTGTCTGCGTCTGTGGTTTGTTTCTTACTTTATTTTTTATTTTGCAGGGAACTACCTTCTATGAAGGCCTTTTAGAACGCTTTGCAAACTACCTACAACTTCTTACTGGCACCTTTCTTGGACACCAATTCTTCCCCTCCAGAGAACTGCCAACGAACAGTGAAGCTTGCATTGCTTACTGCGCAACGGATTATGATTTGTCTTGGGGACATTGCCCGCTATCGAGAATTGGCCAATGATTCCACAAACTATGGCAGAGCCAGAAGGTAATTATGCAACAAGCAAAATTTTCTAAATCTGTTGCCAGGTTTCTTTTTTTGTTGACTGTAATTCCCATTACTAACAATGACAGGTCAGTTGTGTTGACTCATTACTACTTAAGAGTTAATTTCTGTTGATATTACTTTGCACTTGATTACAGAATCTTAAGTCTTAATTATCAGTCATTGATGGCAACATTTAGATATTTTAAGGGAAAAGTGAAAATAGAAAATGACATTTTCAGTTTTTAAAAAAATATTTATGGCATTATTTTCAATAGGAAAAGTATAAATGCACATAAATTTTAGTTTTTAAAATTTTTTATTTTATTATTGCTTATTATAGCAATTAAGATATATGATGCATTCAGCAGAGGAGGGACTTTTTCAACATTTGATAATTTTATGGCAATACCTGCTTAAAGCATTTAGGCAATTTTGATCAACATTTCTTTTCATGGTTAGGTGTAAGGAATTGTAAATGTAGGGCTACTTTACACTTAAGTAAAATAATAATAATAATATTTATTAAAAATTTATTACAGGAAATATCAAGTTTTACAGAAACATTGTTGACTTGACAATTATGTATTTAGTTACATAACAAATAAATAAAAATAACATAAATTTTGATATTATATTCAATTTGTTGCTAGGCATTTTTCATTTTCTCCTTTGTTATTGGCAGCATTTTAGAATATTTTGGCTGCAATGCTAAGTTTCCTAAATTGAACAAACTGGAGCTATTTTGTTTATGCTTTGTTACCTCTCTTTTCCATTGTTTTTATATCGCTTTCTTCCAGTCATTTTGATGGGCAGTAGCAAAATTCTGAAATTTAGAATGATCCTATTCCATTTCAAAAATAAAGCCTGTAAAAATGAATATTTTAAATTAATATATGACCAAAAATAAAATACTTTTTCACAAAAAAACCTTAATGATTTCACTATAATTATGTAATGATATTCTGCAGGCAAATCTACAGTTTGTTACCTCATCTCATTGCATGGTTGCAAACTATAAACCTAAATTGAGCTTGAAATATTGTGTAACTGGCTCTAATTTTTTTGTAAAATATTTGAATATGATGAATAATTTGCAGTGAAAAAAGCAATTTTCAATTTTTTTGTTGAATACGTCCCTTCTTCACTGAACGTGTCATATGACACCTTCATTTGTCTTAGCTGAAGCAAAATGCTCAACTTTTATTTATTTTTATTTTTTTTACAATAAGGTTCACCCTATACAAGGTCCAGGGGACACTTGAAGTAGTCGGTTACATGAAGGGGTAACTTATATGGATAGGAGGGGAAGATAGCATTTAACTCTAGACTTAAACAGGTTAAGATTGTAGTGATTAGAGAAACATCTTCTTGGGAGTTTGTTTCACAGAGCAGTGGTTCACAGGAAGATGCTGTTTGAGTGGAACTTCTCACTGATGGAATACAGAGAGAATGTGGGTGATTTGCTTCAATATAAGTAGCATAGCAGGTCCTAGTTGTGAAGGTTAAACCTGTCTGAGCAAAGGAATATAGTTGGTCCAAACACTTTCCATGGAAGTTGTAATAGTTGAACCTGTATATCAATTCTGTATAAATAAATTAATACAATAAAATATTTGCATAGGATTTATATCTGAATGATCGGTTCTTTTAATTGTAGCAATATAAAATTACTCCTGCACTTTATGTACTAATTCTTATTGAAGCCTTAAACTGTGAAGTTAGAAGCTATTCAATTTCTTTTTAGGAATAAAATGCTATAATTTATGATATAATTCAAAAAGGGAATCCTCTTCCATTGTAGATAAATCCATAAACATCTTTTTGTTTACATATTTAATTCCGTCACTTTTGTGTCGCATTTGTGTTTAATTAGTCATTATTGTTCTGCATCACTTAATTGTTGCTCTTTATCTTGCCAACTAGTGTCTATTTCAATTCACAGTAACATACTACCACAAATATTACACAAAGCCACATTGCCAAAGCAATAAGTTAAGAATAAACACAGTTTAGGTAACTGCACCATTAACTATTGTACTACAACAGATGATCTTTTATAAGGAATATATTGGCAAAACTTATTTTCAGTTAATATTCATGTTACTACATAAATACTGGTTCCCAATATGTCAATTGCAGAAAAATTTAAGAAAATATATTTATAATTTGATGTTTGTGTTCTTGCATACTAATTTCTTGAATGGGATGTATACAAGTGAAATCTTATGTGTTATGATTAAGAAAGTTTTAAATATTTAGACTTGTATAGCTTGATAGATATAAACATTTCTAATTATCTCATTCAGATGATTTGTAATATATATTCAAAGCAGTTTAATTTATTCAAAATGAATTTCAGAATTTTAAAAATATATTTTAATTGCATCACAGGCAACAGAATATTCAATAATTTACCTTTCCTAAAGATTTCAAATTTAGCCTATATCAACTGATGTTAAAAAAATAAAAATTTTTTCCATCTTCATTACAGTTGGTATATGAAAGCCCAACAACTTGCTCCCAAAAATGGACGGCCTTATAATCAGTTAGCAATTTTAGCTCTTTACACGGTAAGTTAATTTGTGCTTTTAAGATATTATTTTAAGTGTGCATCAATATCTTTTTGATTTCAGGTCAGTTTTATTACTCTTTCATACAGTATAATTAGAGTTTATTAAACTGTTTTTACAGTATAATTAGGTATCCTAAACTGCTCTTGAAAACACATTAAAACAGTGACAATGTCATTCAATTTCAACTGCTGATGTCATAGGTATTTTCAATGCTATTTTGATAAAATTTATATGGAACTGCACAACCATGTTGCTACAATATATTGGCAAACAGAATTTGCTCAAGACCCATCAGAAATTCTTCTTACTTTAATAATCCATTGGCTTCATATCTCTAAACCTATACAACTCAAGATGCACGCAAATCAAAAGGAGTATACACCATTTTGTGGAAAACGGTTGGGTCCAATGCATCAAAATTTGTATTGCTAACCGAGTGAATGAATATAATCGACTTATAATGAAATTGTTACATCTTTTAAAAAAATTGATTTTATAGTTCAACTGTTGCAAATGTGCTAATTTTTTTAACTATGTTCATTTTCTATTTTTTCTTCTTTCCTTTTTTCTTTCTTTCTTCTTTCCTTTTTTCTTTCTTCTTTCCTTTTTTCTTTCTTTCTTTCCTTTTTTTCTTTCTTCCTTTTTTTTCTTCTTCCTTTTTTTTCCTTTCTTCCTTTTTGTCTTTCTTCCTTTTTTCTTTCTTCCTTTTTGTCTTTTTCTTCCTTTTTCTTTCTTTCCTTTTCTTTTTTTGTCCTTTTCTTTTTTTCCTTTTTTTTCTTTTTGTCTTTCTTTTTTTTGTCTTTCTTCCTTTTTGTCTTTCTTTCTTTTGTCTTTCTTTCTTTTTTTTCTTTCTTTCTTTTTTGTCTTTCTTTCTTTTTGTCTTTCTTTTTTTTTTGTTTTTCTTTTTTTGTCTTTCTTTCTTTTTGTCTTTCTTTCTTTTTTGTCTTTCTTTTTTTTGTTTTTTTCTTTTTGTGTCTTTCTTTTCTGTCTTTTTTTTGTCTTTCTGTTTTTTTTTTTGTCTTTCTTTTTTTTTTTCTTTCTGTCTTTTTTTTTGTCTTTCTTTCTTTTTGTCTTTCTTTTCTTTTTTCTGTCTTTCTTTTGTCTTTCTTTTCTTTTTTTCTTTCTTCTTTTTTCTTTTTCTTTTTGTCTTTTTTTTTGTCTTTCTTTCTTTTTCTTTTTTCTTTTGTCTTTTTTCTTTTTGTCTTTCTTTCTTTTTGTCTTCTTTTTGTCTTTTTCTTTTTGTCTTTTTTTTCTTTTTTGTCTTTTTTTGTCTTTCTTTCTTTCTTTGTGTCTTTCTTTCTTTTTGTCTTTCTTTCTTTTTGTCTTTCTTTCTTTTTGTCTTTCTTTCTTTTTGTCTTTCTTTCTTTTTGTCTTTCTTTCTTTTTGTCTTTCTTTCTTTTTGTCTTTCTTTCTTTTTGTCTTTCTTTCTTTTTGTCTTTCTTTCTTTTTGTCTTTTTGTCTTTTTGTCTTTCTGTCTTTCTTTTTGTCTTTTCTTTTGTCTTTTTTTTTTTGTCTTTTTTCTTTTTCTTTCTTTTTTTTGTCTTTCTTTTTTTTGTTTTCTTCTTTCTTTCTTTTTGTCTTTCTTTCTTTTTGTCTTTTTTTTGTTCTTTCTTTTGTCTTTTTTTTTTTTTTTTTTTCTTTCTTTTTGTCTTTCTTTCTTTTTTTCTTTCTTTCTTTCTTTTTTGTCTTTCTTTCTTTCTTTTTTGTCTTTCTTTCTTTCTTTTTTGTCTTTCTTTCTTTCTTTTTTGTCTTTCTTTCTTTCTTTTTTGTCTTTCTTTTTTTTTTTTTGTTTTCTTTTTTTTTTGTCTTTCTTTTTCTTTTTTTTTGTCTTTCTTTTTTCTTTTTTTTTCTTTTTTTTCTTTCTTTTCTTTTCTTTGCTTTTTTTTTTTTTTTTTTTCTTTGCTCTTTTCTTTGCTCTTTTCTTTGCTTTTCTTCTTTTTTCTTTTCTTTTCTTTTTTTTTTTTCTTTTTTCTTTTCTTTTTCTTTTTTTTTTTTTTTTTTTTTTTTTTTTTCTTTGCTTTTTTTTTTTCTTTTCTTTTTTTCTTTTCTTTTTCTTTGCTTTCTTTTCTTTTTCTTTTCTTTGCTTTCTTTTCTTTTTCTTTTCTTTGCTTTCTTTTCTTTTTCTTTTCTTTGCTTTCTTTTCTTTTTTCTTTTTTTTCCTTTTCTTTTTTTTTCTTTTTATCATTAGGCTCTATAGGAGAATTATCATTTAATTGATAACACTTTTCTTAGAACATGGGATGTTCCTAATAGTAGGGAGATCTACTGGGCAACTTGTATGTTGATGTTACCTGGGACACTCTTAGTAAAATTGACCATTCCATTTCTCATGAGACCCAGAGCTCCGATTACTACTGGTACAGTCTCAGTCTTCAATCCCCACATCCTTTTAATCTCGAT